TTTAATACGGGTCTGAATGTAAATGCAATTTTCATACTCAGGTATGATATCAGCATCCAAAAATAAACTATGTATTCTTTCTCACCTAAAGTCTTTAATGCAAGTAATGTTTATCCTATGGAAATAGTTTATTGTATTATGAATATCGATTTAAATTAGAATAAGAATTATTTAGCAATGTGTCATATGGCAAAACTTCATAGATGCAATTTGACAACTCTTAAATTATTACAATATCTTATCGATCAAAGTGGGAGAAAAGATAAGATTGTAATGAAAATCCAAGATTTTTGAACCATTCTTGAAGTGTATCAATGTTCTATAAACAAGAGTAAACATGAAGCATAGTAAATATGGACTATATTTCATGAGGAAAAAACTTGTTAGTTTGTTATCATTTGAATAAAAGTAAATTTTATTATTAATTGTAACTATAGTAACATTTGTCGAACTGTCAATGTCTATGTTGTTTATTTTTTCGTTCTTGTCAGAACGAGAAAAAAAAGACTAAAGTGATTGCGTAGATGAAAAGTAAACGAAAATTGAAATGAATAAAAATGCAATTAATAATGTTGTTGGGTTTTTTCTCTTTCATTTGTTGTTGACAACTATATTTTCAAGTGGAACTAGGTAGAATTTGCTCTAAAGTGTCAACACGGGTGTGGGTGAAAGGTGAACGTGTGGGCAAGTGTGGATATGATTCTTTTAACTCTCACCCACACCCATCCAGATCGATCATCTCTCATTTCAAAATGAAATTGTATGGCAATGTTTACTTATGTTAGTAATGAATATCGTACCAATATCCGAATATTATTTCATAACACCTTTCAGTATTACACCTCTTTGCTTGGGACAGATCCTAAATTTCACACATGAATGCTCAATCTTTGTGGTAATTTCTCAAGTTAGCATCTTATCAGCTTGGAATCTTAATAAAACTAGAAGAGCGCAATGTCATTCTTTACTTTGACTTTTTTGATTTCTGAATAATCGTTGACTACTATTTTTAGTTTACTGTAACCAACTAGTAGATACTGATCGTCTATGGACTATAATTCGGGGTTTGACTCTACTGACGTACAGGAATGAAGATATATGTGGATTGAACTATGAAACTTCTCAGTCATATTCATCGAGGAACATAAGTGGATTAGTATTGTCATCAATAAGATTGCCAACTAAAATCAGTTCTTGAGTTTTAAACTTAATGTCTTCCAAGTTCAAGTTTTGAATAACATATTTCTTTAATGTCTTAAGAATATAATGTACATATATCGTCCTGCTCTTCAATATTCTAATGCAAACATTTTTGCAAACTAAAAAGACTGCTGAAAAAAACTCTGTTTACTTCATGACAACTTTTTAAATATTCTTGTCAACCGAAAAGAAAAATGAAAACACTGGAAAATTAATTATTTAACATTCATTCGATTTTAGCAATCTTTCAACAAGATGTTAATCATACTTAGTCTATAGGTTTTTGCAAAATTAGATGCTCTTAAATCTATAACCATGGAGAGACGAAACCAATGTGATGGAATGAACAGCATAGAATTAATTTTAATGTATTTTTATTGATTGAAACTAGTCAATAGAGCAGCAAAAAATTCTTTATGAGATGCAAACACATGAAACGAAAGAAAAGAAGAAAAATACTGTATAGCGTTTCTGCAGTACTTCTTTGTTTACACACGACACTTTTACATTGCCATGGACTCAACAGACATGATCGAAAAGAGAGAAAATGTTGGCAACAATAATGAATATTTCTTAGTTTATGTTTTTGTTTCATTGGTTGGTTCATTGTTAATGTACTTTTGTTGATATTTCGTGTTTGTCATAATGGTATTTACAGAAGAAATCCAAATGAATCATACATTCAACATTACAGTGAATTTTTTATTTCGCGGAACAAGCTTGTATTTTTTGTGCAAAGTGATGTGGCATATGTTATAAAGATAGAAGCTTTTTTGTGACCTTTGAATTTAGAAGGGTGTATGTGGATATGAGTTTGACAGCTCGCCTTCTGTTCACGCATATCTACAACCAAAATAAGGTTTAATTCTATTCTGAGTATTGGCTCAAATTCAAATTAGAATTATTTAGTACACGACACAGCGAAAGCTCATAAATGAAATTATCAAATAGAACTTTGGTTTGCTTGCTACATCTATAATAGTCTCTATCGAACTCTTTATTAATGCTCCAGTAAGCATAGAATGCAGTAAATATTACTGAGAATTCAGAAAGATACGAACTATTCTTTCCTGCTGAGTCATCGACTAATAATGTGTCTTATATTTGATAAAGATAAAAATTGTTGTGTTGACTGCTGCTTCAATCAAAATTAAATTTATTTCTCTTGTTCTTCTGTTCACATTGTCACAGTGCTCATTAGAATCATACTAAAGATATCGAATTGACGATGTATTCATTGTTGTTCTTTTCCTTTTTGCCAAAAAGACAAAAAAAGTTGTTCTGAAGAAATCAAAAAAAAATCATGAGTGAATGAGAAAAATATTTATAATGCATCAATACTCAAGTGATTGTTTAGATGAAGAGCAAACATAAGTTGGAAAGAAAAAGCATGAAAAAAATGATGTCATTGGTTTTTTCTATTTCATTTTTTTGTTGACAATCATATTTTCAGTAGAAACTGGGTGGAATTTGGTATTGAGTGTCAACGAAAAAAAAACTCATATTTGATGTCATAGAAACATCTAAAAAAAACAGTGGGTATCGACTGTATAAACAAAAAGCAATTATTCATCATTTTAAACTAAAAACAACATTTCATATATAATCCAAGTGAACAACGATCCAAAGAACAGGTATACAAATTAACCATGTGCGCCGCTGCAACAGTAAGATCCTTAACTGTTGCCAGCCGACCAAAACAAGGTCGACTCCAAAATTATTTACTAATCTGGGTCGATGGTAACATCGACGAGAACAACAAAGATTGCGCAAATACGCTGGTGGAATTGCGCAGCATCGTCAGAGAAGTCAATCTCTGTGCGACTCCAGCGCAATGTATTCAATTTCTGAATGATATGGATAACGAAAAAGCGTTTGTTATCTCGTCTGGAGCTTTAGGACAGCACCTCGTACCGCAGATTCATGATTTGTTACAAGTGGACGCAATTTATATATTTTGTGGTAATAAAACAAAACATGAAGCATGGGCACAAGAATGGGCAAAGATTGAAGGTGTTTTCACCTCAATCAAGCCCATATGTGAATCATTAAAGAAGGTCACCCGTGAATGTGACCACGATACAATTCCCATGAGCTTCGTTCCAAAGCGAATGACAGCAGCAACATCAAGTCAAGAAAATCTGGATCAATTAGAACCATCTTTCATGTACTCAGTATTATTCAAAGAAATTATATTAGAAATCAATGAAGACGACATAAAGCCGCTGAACGATCTAGTCGTCTACTGTCGTAGCAAAGATATATCGGAAAAAGAATTAAAGGACTTTCACAGTACATACCACCAGAAAACGCCAGTCTGGTGGTATACATGCGAAATATTTCTATATGGCATGCTGAACTATGCCCTACGAACACTGGACATGGAAGCCATGACAAAAATGGGTTTTTTCATCCGAAACCTTCATCATCAGCTGGAACAACTGCACAAAGAACAAGCAAAGACTTTTATGGAAAAATTTATTGTTTATCGTGGTCAGGGGCTCATTGAACAAGATTTTCAACATCTAATGGACACGAAAGGTGGACTGGTCTCATTTAACAATTTTTTGTCAACTAGTATAAAACAAAAGATCGCTATGGAATTTGTGGAACGTGCCATGCAGAAAAATAAAGACATCGTCGGTGTTCTTTTCATCATGACAATTGATCCAAATACAATATCGGCGGCAACTACTCCATTTGCACTTATCGACGACTACAGTGCTATTAAAACCGAAAAGGAAATCCTCTTTTCAATGCATACTGTTTTTCGTGTCGATGATATCAAACAATCAGTTAGCAATAGTCGTCTATGGGAAGTTCAACTGAGTCTCACCGGCGATAATGATCCACAATTGGCTGCTCTTACCAAAACCATACAAAAGGACCTCCGTGGATCCACCGGATGGCATCGACTGGGACATTTGATGATCGAAGTGGGCCACTACAATCAAGCTGAAGAACTCTACAACGAATTACTCAAGAATGCTTCCAGTGACAGCGATAGAGCACATATTTATCACCAGCTTGGATTCTTAAAAAACGATAAAGGACAATATCAAGAAGCAGTTTCATTTTATGAAAAGTCACTCGAAATCAAGAGAAAAACTCTTCCGGAAGATCATTCTTCATTGGCTCCTACCTATACTAACATTGGTCTTGCGTATAACAACATGGGTGACTACTCGAAAGCACTTGAGTTTTACGAAAAAGCACTTCAAATTAAAGGAAAAGCTCTGCCTCCGAATCATCCCGATTTGGCTACTTCCTACAACAACATCGGTCTAGTGTATAACAACATGGGTGACTACTCGAAAGCACTTGAATTTTACGAAAAATCACATAAAATCTACGAAAAAGCTCTGCCTCCGAATCACCCTCATTTGGCTACTTCCTACAACAACATCGCTTCGGTGTATGACGACATGGGTGACTACTCGAAAGCACTTGAATTTTACGAAAAAGCACTTAAAATAAGAGAAAAAGCTCTGCCTCCGACTCATCCCGATTTGGCTAGTTCCTACAGCAACATCGGCCTCGTGTATAACAACATGGGTGACTACTCGGAAGCACTTGAATTTCACGAGAAATCACATAAAATAAAAGAAAAAGCTCTGCCTCCGAATCATCCCGATTTGGCTACTTCCTACAACAACACCGGTGGAGCGTATAAAAACATGGGTGACTACTCGAAAGCACTTGAATTTTACGAAAAAGCACATAAAATAAAAGAAAAAGCTCTGCCTCCGAATCATCCCTCATTGGCTACTTCCTACAACAACATTGGTATGGTGTATTTCGGCAAAGGAGACTACTCGAAAGCACTCTCATTCTTAGAAAAGGCACTTTCTATCTGGCAAAAATCACTTCCACCTAATCATCCTAATGTTAAAACAGTCAAAAACTCAATTGACATTGTAAAAAAGAAAATGTAACTATAATTTTTTCTTTTCGCTTGCTCAATAAATTTATTCACATTGCTAATCGTTTCGATTTTTCTTGGCTCACTGTGACTTACCCGCGCGCGCGCGACAAGGGAAAGATCCCTTGTCAATGCCATAGGTACCACAGGCGGACCACGCCGGACTGGTAGGGCAATGGCCGAAGGTATGCCGCATTAACACGGTAGAGACCAACGACACATAGAGGCCTTCCCTAGTACTACACTGCTTCGCTATGGCACGAAAGTTCCTGTCCCTATTGAGTCAGACAACGTAGCTATCTGACCCATACTAATAACATTCATAACTCAACTCATCTCATCTCAAAAGTACTCATACTCATAATAACTGACAATATTTATTTTTTCTCGAAATAAATTATCTCAACTCAACTCAACATGTAAAAAAAAATTTTTTTTCCTACCTCTCAATGTTGTATCGTACCGTAGCTCATCTAAAAAAAAAGTATTGTTAAATATAAAGACAAATAATTTACCTTATTTAAAATATAATGATATCGTTATCATTGTAAATAATATAATAATAATAATAATAATAAATAATGTACCCGGGTATATAATTACATTGTAATGCATCATATTGAGAAAACGCGAATGTACTGTTTTATGATGATACGTCCATGTTTTTATATACACAATGGTTCATTGTTTAATATTCAACGGTTTTGATTGATTTTTCATCAATCACATCACACACGTGAATTGATGTTTCTTCGTGTGTTTTAATTGATTTGACGATCAATCTTTATGTAGTGATATATGTATGTTTTTTTTAATTTCTTTTTTCTCATCTGACGGACATCAATATCATGTCGTCGTCGTCGTCGTCGTAGTCGAAAAGAAAATATTCGTCTTATGTGTATATGTAGAGTGTGAGTTGAAAAAAATATTAACATTCACTACCACACCCACACCCTTCATCACCATCTTCTGAAATAAAAATCTTCGGATATTTCTTCACAAGCAACATGAATTCGATCTACTCTGTTTCATAGTTTCTATTTAAGTAAAAAATTAATACTACAAAAAAAAAATATGTTGACACGAAAGAAAGTGATTTTCAAGTTGCTGTACTCGATTCATTTGTTCAATTACTTTTAATTCACATTAATTGTAGTATACTAAACACTGATAAAATTTCTTGTATTTCTGATCTATCGCTTATTTTTGAATAGAATTTCTTACGAAATTTCTTATTATGTTGTCACAAAGCAAGTAAACATGACTTGCAACGAATGATAAGAAGAAAAGAAAAAAATATTTTCAAGAAAAAAAAATTATTGTTTGAATTCTTTTTTTTTAGTTTTAGCAGTATTAGACTTAGTTGTATTTGATATTATTGTTGATAGTATTCAACATGAAGGTGATTAATGGAAATGTATTTCACGACAAATTGTCCATGGACTTCTTATTCATTTACAATT